ATTGGCCAATCACGGTCAAGTATGAGTAGAATGCGCGACTGTGATTAGTCAATTTCTTAAGGCTTAGGGCTTAAATCTCTATTGTAGACTGGGACTAAATCCCAGTCTACAATAGATGATTTAAGCCCTAAGCTTTAAGAAATTGACCAATCACGGTCAAGTATGAGTAGAATGCGCGACTGTGATTAGTCAATTTCTTAAGGCTTAGGGCTTAAATCTCTATTGTAGACTGGGACTAAAGATACGCGATCTTTAAGATGGTTTTTTCGTAAAATCATCGGTTTATTTTACAGTTTATTCCGTACATTAACACGTGCAAAGTAAGGCCAATTAAATTAAAATTGACCGTCTCAAGGTTCGAGAAAAAAAAAATGTTACACGAAATATTACGTGTAAAGCGCGTGAAAATTATTATTGCACGTAGCCATGTAATTCGTTGTAATATTATTACACGTGAAACATTTGCGTATGATTGTTCAGTCACCTTTCAATCTGGACGATTACTTTTCAATCGCGATCACTCTCCAACTGTGAGGAGGAGAGAGATTATAAAATCATTCCGTGGACGTGGTTTCGTGAAATTAATAATACAAGTATTACTATTTCTAAAAAGCGATTGAGATACTGCAAATGACGTGATCTGGTTGCTTGCTATATGTTAATCAACGTGATCTTTATTCACCATCCCTGTATGCATCGTGTAAAAATATACTTTTAGTTATTAGTACATGTTCATTATACAATCGCCTCGAGAAACATGTGGCTTCGTACACATGTCGTATCTCTAATAAAAACGCTGCTATTCGCAGTCTGCTTCGCCTAATTTAGTACCGATCATGTTATTGCATCGATAATATTAACATAATTAATTTCCGAGGAAGCCTCTAAGTTAACAATTTTTAACAGTTGAAACCAGTGCGCGACAACTATTTCGACTCGCGTATTGGAACGGAGCGAACAATGGATCGAATTCGAATTGATATTTCGCTAGTAACACGTCTCTTAGGCCTTAAGTTTCACTAGATCGCTTTGGTTCACAAGCGCGAGCGTAAATAAAGCGCCATTTTATAAACACTGGAATAAATCTGCTCTAAATATCGCATAAGAAAAGTACCGCACTACTTGCGTACTGACTAATATCACCAATCGACACGAATCAATAGCGCTTCTAGGGAGTGTACTTTATGTAATTATTACCGGAGAACAAGGCACAATTTCAGACTTAACCATCAGCCGCGTGTATCAACCGTTTAACAATTGCACAAAAATATTTTTGTCTCCTTGCACAATAACAATTATTCACATTGACTATACATATACTAATCTTGCAAGGGAAAATTATATTTGTCGTACATACTCGCCTATTATATTTAATGAACTTAACTAGATTAGCGCGTCACAATCGGACGAGCGATGATAATAAAAAAACAGCCGGATCTTAATGAAATTGCACGACTTGTGCCGCGAACAGTACTTATTATAGCATGAGTCACAGAGCCGATAATATTTTAAGAACGTTAAAATATTCAAACGTGATCACAGAGCTAATCTAATCTTGTCTTGTTCGTAAAATCTGAAATATACAATCAGTTTAGATAATCTTATGCCTGATAAAGGTGCTTGTGTGAGATTATAAAATAATTCATGAAGTAATCTTGCGAAATGATCTTTTTTTTAAGTTTAATTCTTGACGAGGCGGGCAGGGACGCTACATACAAATATCGTAAATACAGCAGAAACTCAATTTGGACATTCCACGGCTGTAGACACGTTCCGGGAGGTTTAACGAATGTCCAAGGATGAGATAATGCGTGACTGCCATTTATTTACATTGTGTGTGTGTGTATGTGTGTATGTGTCATAGCACATACATACTAATGAAATAGTTGATAGAAGTATATATATATACAAATAACCCTAAATTACCGAGCCCATTTACATTCTGATTCAATAAATTTGCGGTCAGTCTTTCTTTTCGAAAACCGGTCTTGTATGTAAATAATTTCTGAAACTTAAACAAATCTTGGCACACAAAGACACAAATATGGAAAATAAGTCAGATGCTGTTAAATACTTTGCGTAAAATTTATGGACTCTACACGTGATGCCGGCTCTGGCTATATCGAACATAATTCAACTACAGTTATTCTACTCGGCAGGACGTGATAAAGAAATCACCGGATGAAAATCATCGAACGAAGATAGATTGAATGAAAGGTGATTAGACTGAATGTCATTACTAATGATCGTTCTGTCGCTTGATTGAACCAAGCTTTTTTACCCACGCACTCAAAAAATGCTTCTGTATATTTCTCTATGATTCAATTAATGGCTCAACTCCAAACATCACTAGAGTATCGCTTTTGTGACTCCATCTTCTTGATGTAATTTGCGGCGTCAAGCTCCGACATTTTGCCACGTTCCATCACCACTTTGAGCAATATATTGTGCACGTCGCGTGCCATGTTTCTCGCATCCCTGAGGAAAACACGGATAATTTACATATACATTACGAATAGAAATTTCCTTTTTGGAGCAGAATAAAGTAGGTGCTTCAAACTAACCCGCAAACATAAATATGTCCGTTTTGTTCGCCGATAACACGCCACAATTCCTCCTTGTTCTGCTCGAGCAGGTGTGTGACGTAGACCTTGTGCGACTGCTCCCGGCTGAACGCGACGTGCAGCGTTAGGGTGCCGTTCTTCACGTATTCCTCTAACTCTTCACGATAGAGATAGTCCTCTTGGCTTTTTCTGCATCCAAAGTATAGTATCGTGTCGCCCGTTTCTTTACCTGGGGGATTAAGATTCAAATATCAGTATTTTTTCTACCGCGATGAAAATGCTCCGTTATGTAGCGTCGAGACCAGGAACGTGCTTACCTTCCCGTCTTGCGAAATCCCGTTCCTGTATGAAGCCCCTGAACGGCGCTAGACCGGTTCCCGGGCCAACCATGATGATGGGAGTGCTCGGGCGCGTCGGCAAACGGAACTGGGACTTCCTCACAAAGATCGGGACAAGGCAAGGCGGATCGGATGGATGTTTCTGCTTCAGCCAAGTGGTGGTCACGCCCTTGTTTATCCTGCCGGTCGGAGTTTTGTACTCTACCACCACCGCCGTAATATGGACCGAAGCTGGATGAAGCTGAAATAAGAATTACGATTTTCATTCAACTCATTTTTCCAATAGAACGATCCTATCATTCTTAAAATCCCATGCTCGATTTAATTAAGAGAAGAAAAAAAAGGTACCTTCGGAGACGAAGATATCGAGTAATATCGACACTGTAACCGTGGCAAAATTTCGCACAGATGATCCAATGGTGGTTTCAGGCTGGGAATATCCTCCAGAATGTGCACGATGTTGCGATTCTCTTGAATTATCCATTGCTGATAGGCCGCTTTGCCTTCGGCGGTGGTCGACGCCATCAGCTTTAGTTTCTCCTTGTCCGCGGGATCGCTCGTGTATTCTGCTAACTCCTTGAGAACGTGCGTGCGCGGGTTACTTGTAATGTCCAAGTAATGCGTCAGGGCAGTTCTGTAGCTGCAAGGACAAGGGAACGGATGTTTCTTCGTGGACTCCTCTGTAAAACAAATAAGATTATTTTAAAGATATACAAATAAATCCTGGTGCGAAAATTGAGAAAGAAAAGGGAACGAGAAGAGAATAAAGAGCAAGTAAAAATACCATCTGTATTCGTCAGAGTGAAAACAGTATCCAAATTCATGCCACATTGTTCGCCAATTTTGTTCACCAGCTCCGCGTCGTTCACGGGATAGACGGCCAAATGATCGCCTGTTTCGTAACGCATCTTAGAGTGCGCATCGATATCAAACTCTATGTGCATGCACGATCTCTCGGACGTTGGTCCGTGCAGCTCGCGATTCACTCTTACGGGAGCCAAGAATGGGTTCTTTGCATCATACGGCCTGTAGACAAAAGATCAAGAAAAGTTAAGCAGGAACAGAGATTATGTCACGCAATTCCGTAGTAAATAAAAACTTACGGGTTCTGATTCGTGAAGGAATGAAGACGAGCGATCTCTCCAGTGTAGATGCGCTCAGCCGACAGATCCACGTGCTCTGTGAGCTTGTATTGTCGAAAACTGACATCCTCACCAGCTCCTTCGATGCCGAAGAACTCACAAACGGCCGGCCAAAACTTATCTTTCCACGTGATGAAGTCATCCTCTATGCTGCAGTACAGATATTAATTAGTAAGAAAACAAAATTCTATATCGTAGAACTTGGAATGACTGAAAAAGAAATAAGGTATATTTGTAATCGATGCCACGATAAAAGAATATTCACTTTAAATTGTAAAGTAAAGGACACTGGATAGAAAAGAAAGACTATTCAAAACCTAATAGAGGGGTCCAAGGATATTTTATATTGAAGCGAATCGAATTAATCGAATGGAATCGTTGAAATATAACTTTTAATTAACAATATCATTATTATTAGATTCAATTTTTAACACACAGATAATGAAACATTTTGATACGAAAAAACAATATTGATTACATAATATAAATTCTTTTAATTACCCTTTATATTATGTAGTTAACATTTTATTAGCATTTATATTATGTGTAATTCTTAAAAGATGTAAATTTAAAAAAAAAACATTTAAATATTTGAAAGTATTAAGACCAATCAAATAGTTTACCGAATCTTCCGATTGAATCCGACTCGATTCGTATTCAAGAATATCTTTAGAACCTACTTTGCGTCATCATCGCCAAGGCCTAGCTCGACAACGCGCGTAGCACCCAATTGCTCCAGTCTGTGATCCACGTATATACCAATCTCATTGTAATGTTCGTAGGTTTTGTTACCCAAGCCGAATACCTGAAAAGAAAGTGGGTGAGCGATTAGCGGCGATTGCGTGCGTGCGTTCATATCTTTATAGTATACTATATGAGCGCAACAATTGAAATGTTTGAACCGTAATCATAATGCAATACATTCGTTTGTGACGCGACTCGAGCTCTCATCTCGAATCTCGATACCTCGAATCTCGACACCACGTGCGTTATGCGCGACATCGCTGCACGCCGTCGCACCGCGACAGCCGCGATGCAGCGGCGACGGTGGTGCCGCAGGGTGAATCGGAGCAGCCTATCGCACGACATTCCGACGTTTACTAGTCCTGAACTCATAATAATGTTCATGAATATGGACGTGGCACCGAGCACGATAACGCGGTCTTGCGTACTTCCGACGCTACCGTGCACCGGCGCTTTCACTTTCTGTCTGAGAAATTACAATTTCACATATCTGATTCATCGACGCACGTGCGACATGCACTCTCCTCCCGGTCTTGTGCAATACACCGTGACATCGCGAACGAGAGGGCGCCAGTGGCGCCACCAGTGATGCACACTGTGAACTAGTGTCGCCAACCAGTGATATGGCAGTCGAGCGCGTGGAG